ATATATGATACAGTTAAGGTGTAATAAATATTTTATTTTTTAAACACAATATAAAATAATCGTTAAGAAATATTGATAATTAAAAATTTATCAGGATTAGAAATTATAACATCAGGATGCTAAGCCACTCTATTGTATATAGAATATACTCTAGTTACGCCAATGACTTTCATGTTCATCTGTAAACTTTTTGGTAACGTTACATTAATAGAGTTCTAGCGATATGTATATTATTTTGAATGAATTTTTGATCATAGTTAATTAATGTATCTACATATTTTTGCCTTTATGAATAATTTTTGAAGATCTTGCAATTAGATCATTTAAAGCTTTGCGATTAAATCTATTGCTTAGTTTATGTCTATATTTCAAATAATTACTATGGATATTTTAATAATGTCAAGTAGTTTTGTGCTTCGATACAAAGCTTTTTTTTTCCCACGATTGACATGGTGTTGGACGCCCTGAAACTATCGTGAGGTATTGCTTCAGGACGCCTAACGTCGCGTTAAAACTCACTACACGACGTGACCTCCTCCGTTAGCCGGATCCTAGAGTGGGATCCGTTGCCCAGGTCGCACCACGTGGAGATGAGGACTTCGCTGTGGGTTTGCATAAAATTCACAAGAAAACACACAAGTAGCAAGAGAACAGGAGATAAGACAAGTAGGCTTCTCTGGCCCTCCCACCTTACTAGGACAGTCCCTGGCCCGGTGCCCCTCTGCCCTGCACGAGAAATACGCATCGGTCCGGTTGGGACCGCTACAGGTATCCTCTTTTGAGGCACCTGTAGCAGCGTGGTCGATTGTCTTTTGGGACCCGGATCCAACACGTGCTCCATCCAACCCAGAGTCGCTTTAGCCAACGGTTGCGAGGCCCTAATGGGCACCTCGCACCACGCGTAGCGTCCCTTGAGGCTACGGTGCAGTTGGACTGACGCTGAGCCAGCAGACGCAGCGTCTATCTCCTTCGAGAGGATGGTAGTCAACGCTACAACGATGTCCTCTTCCACCATCCACTCCTTCACATCCAACAGCATGAATGCCACGGATATTTCTGGGAAGTGTACGCGGACATACATACCGTTCAACGCCTTCCTGATCTCGCCAACTAAGAGGTTCGCCTTATCCCCTAATCCTCGAACATCGAGGAGTACGTCACCCGTTTTTGTTCTCCGGGTACCGGAGACCACGACGCCTAACGCCTGGAGGTTAACGGTATCCATGAACCTTTTCATAACCTCCGAATATTTTTGTCCCTCTTTCAGGAATAATGCAGCCACCACCGTCCCAACGAAACCTAATTCTGGGGCAGACTCCCCACCCGCATCGGGTCTCTTCCTCTTTCTCCACCTCTTCCTTACCCATTTAACGACCTTCGCGGTGAATGGACGATCGACGGGTGGCCAACTCACGCCAGTTGTCGCCAGCATTGTGGTCCCAGTGCCAGAGTCGTCGTCACCGCCCGCAACCTCCGGAGGCTCTGTTTGCGTTGACAACTCGACTGTCGGCACATCCTCCTCCGGAGTACGGGTCTACTCGAGGTCGTTCATGGAGCGAACGCTCCGAGTGAGATCTCTCGCAGCCGATCTCACATGGTCGTGTGGTGGCACGACAAGAATTACATTCTCCAGTCATTGTGCCTGCTTTCGACCGCGGCGTACCGTCTCGTGGAAGAGGTCGGCAACCGCAATCTCCCCGCATTTCCTCCTCTTCATATCAGGAGCCCTTCCAGGTGTATCCATTTGCCGGATTGGTGCATCTTGAGGAGTGTCCTCCAAGATGACCGTCCCTGGTTCATCCGCTGTTGGGGATACTTCCTTCCTCTTGCCCCGCAGAGATTCGTCTTCTCTCAAATCGTCGACACTGATCGGCTCGGGCGGATTAGTTCTCTCCCTGGGCGTGTTTTCCAACCCACCCCTATTCTCGCTAGAATAGCCAGCTGGCATAAACATATGCCTCGATTGCGTTCCTAAGATTCATACCTGCGGCTACAAGAGTGGGATTACTTTTGTGCTGAGATAGAATCTCCCTGAGAGCAAGTCTAATGGCATTCGCGACACGGTTGGCCGCATTGTCACTGCTTCCCCTCAGCGCAGAGACCCAACGAGACATCAGATTAGCCCTTTCTGTCTCCTCCACCACTCCCTCGAAGGGATTGTAAGCTTTAACCCGTTCAGGGCTAAACCCACTACCCCGGCAAGGTCCTCCCGCATCATTCGTAAAATGAAGTCTACCGAACTACAGAAACCCCTGTGTGACAAGAACCCCAGACTTTCGTCCTCCAGACGCGACTGGATGTTAACCCATCGCTTGAACTCGGAGCAAGACAAAGGTATCTCGTTGGTAAGATGAGCCCTTATGCCCGACTTCTCCTCGACTAAATCTGGGCTGATGCCTCTGCATCCGACAGTAATCTCAGTGGCATTAAGGCCACCGAAGGTTGCGTGTTCCGCACATCCTCCAGTAGTAGCTTGGGCACAAACGACCCCTGGACCCTGCTTCAACAGTCCAACAGTTTCTATGTAGTTGCTGGATAACGACCGGTTGGTTTAGGAGATTTGTTTTCGGTGTTGCCTTCACCTAGGTGATCGCCTTACCGAGCTACAGGGCCCATCCTCCCGTTGAACAATTACCATTGAACGCTACCGCTTATTCGTCCACTTAAGAAGTGGCTTATCTCAAAGCTACCTTGCATTAATTTAATATATTAATTTTACTATATGTATTTTTTTATGTCTGTTGCCACTTTTCTCAAAAAAAAATTAGTAAAGTCACTTCTTATAAATGAAAAACATAGGCAATTTCATGTTTAAAATACAATTTCATTATTTCAATTTTAGTAAATAATTTAATCGCCTTAATTGCAAATACTTGGGGTCGGCCACCCTTATCCTAAACTTCCACCTGACACGATCTCACACATCATTTACGCTCACATCAGCTGTCCTCATATCGCATTCAATAACATCCCTCCATCTCTTTGTTGCCTTCCTCTAACTCTTCTTCATTCAACATTCATTTCTATAACTGTTTGGTTGGGTTGGGTTTCCAAACCACCCACACTTAATTCTGTGTCTTACATCCTCGTCAGTACAACCACTTTTTTGCACAACTGACCCTAAATACTTAAAACTTTCCACCTCTCCAATCACGTCCTCGCCTTATGTTACGTACTATAAATTTAAAAAAATTTCACGACGACCTATCTTCTATGTACAAATGGCCGTCAAAAAATTAAACAAAAAATAGGAGTAAATTTTTCTTTTGAAATAATTCATCAATTTTTAAAAATTAAACACTAACTAGAGATTTGCATCTCAAGTGTTTTTTATGATAGTGATTATAATCACTGCTAGATACATCTGTAGTTGTTCCAACTATGCCACGATTTTTTATTTTTAAGAATACCGTTAAGTTACCATTGTTGTAAAAATCTGACTACGGTACAATAACCAAATCAGGTATGATAAAAAATTCTAAAAAAAAAAAAAATGATGAATGAATTTTTATTATAAAAAAAATACATTATAGCTATATCTTATAACGATAATCAAATATTTTCAAATTACTCTTTATTAGTAAGAAATAAGTTTTTATTTTTGTTACAAGACTTGATCGTTATATTTAGGTATATATTAAATAGATATAATTGTTCTTTATTGAATAATATATTATAGTTTCACTGTTATGGTTTTAAATAGTAATAAATAAAAACGATTATAAGTGCTGCTTTTATATTTTATTGCTTTGTCAAAATTAAAAACAATTTTTTTTTTCAATAATATAATCTTCATCATTATTATCTAATAGATTTTTTTTTTGGGCTCAATAATCTCGTATTATATTTCTGATTGAGTTTCAAACAGTTGTTGCTGCACATCTTCAAATTCTGAAATTTCTTTCTCTAATTCTCATTATTTTGTTCTTGTTTTGTTAAAAATAGAAACAAAAACAATGTCATAATAAAAAACCTAATCAAATATCATTTAATGACGGTAATTATGATATCCACACTATCAATTTTTAACTTAAAGTTTTGAAACTAAAAAATTTGTATTTTACAGTAAAAATCAAACTATTTTGATATACTATTCTTAATATTTGACCAAAATTTGAACAACAGAGGCCATTTTTGGTCAAAATACTAAAAACACGTTGAGCCAACAGTAAAAATTGTTTTAAAAATCTCAAATTTTCACAAAATGTCTATTTTAATGTATATAATAAAGTTAAAATGGTTCTCATTAAAATTTTGAAGATCGACTTTTTTTGATACACCCTAATATGTATGTATATATAACCTCAAATTTCTAAAAGCACCGATCTAGTGAATATCTAAAATATTTTTGATTCAATATACGGAAATCACGAATTAAGATAAGATGGACTGGACATGGATATAAGACGATCTGGTTTTGTTATATATTTTCCGAAGAAGGGGAAATTTTGAAGTAACTGCGCCATCTACTTCTTAAATATATTTTCTTAATTCCTCACTCAGTTTTATACATTTTGTAAAAACCCGTTTATCGCTAAAGCCATAGAATAATACACATGTGTATTTATAAGATAAAATAAAATTATATGCGTATTTAATCTATATTAGAGTCCACTGTTCTCTGAGTATTCCTCTTTCTACGGAATTTTTATCACAAAACCGGATTGCACTTCTCATTCCTATTGACCTGGACATGTCTAGTCCATTTTATTGTAAGAGAGTCCGGGGGGGTCGAGCATTCCGACCTTATCTTTTAAGGTCGTGGTTTTTATCATAATATTCTATGTAGAATTGTATTATGAAATAGATCGCGCTCAAGGTTATTAGATATAACTAATTTGGAGGGCATATAAATTAGGAAAATACTTATCAAGAATTAAATTTTATGAAAAGCTTATCATAGAACAATATTTGTGCCTAATTGTGAATAATTCTGTTTATAATAATGATATTATCTATTGTCATTGTGACTTTTGTTCAAAAAGTGTTAAATAATTTTTATTTCAGCGCATAAATATTAAAACAATTCCAAAGAGGTTCGTTTTAATACTAATCGTTGCCACCGATGGCTCTGTGACACATTGGAACCTTTCGTCACCTTCATAGCCTATCAATTTGTTGTAATCACTCTACGACTTCTCACTTCAAACAGACAGTCATCATTCAACTCTGAAGACTGTAGTGTTCATGTTGATACGTTACTATTTAACTTTTAATAATACCATTGTTTCAAATTACGAAATAATATAATCTTTTTGTCTTCATTGTGATTCATTTAATTACCATCAATAACAAAACATCACTGAAGTGTAGTCAACATGTTAATAATTCAAATGAATAGTTTGAATCTGTGACAACAATTTTAACTATAAATTCAGGCAAGTTAAAAAATATTTTACATTTTATTAAATTGCTGCGTAACTACTATAATAATGCGAAGCCAAGTTTTAAATTTCGGATGAAAACTATATTCTTCTAAAGTAGAAAACACAATAATTTAGAAATTTAAATAAATTCTACATAAGAAATACCTTAAATTTTTGTGAAAAGTTATATTTTTAAATGTAAATTTAGTGGAGTTTTTTATGTTTTTGTCTGGTGCGAAATTAATTATTTTTTATAACTTGTATGTTTAAAAAATAATTTCATTTATTTAATGAAACATGTTAATTCCTGCAGAATTTTAATAACTATTTAAATTTTTGAAATTAAGAATCTCTTTATTTACTAAGTTATATGAATAATTAATGTGTGACATTGAAATTTTTAAACCTGTATTTGATATACAATAATTATAGTATAACATTTTTTTTTATTTCAGATTAATATTAGAAAATGTTTCTTTGGGATTGGGTTACTGGAGCTTTGGGGTATTTAGGTAAGTTGAAATTTTTGCAATCTATCTTTTAAAGTCTATTTAGTAGATATTTAAAAATTAATTGATAGTTAATCTTATTTCTGTGTGATATTCATTGTATAAACTACTTGGTTAATATTTTTCCCATGACTTAATTGCTAAACATCATAATACTATAAAAACAAATTTTCTAATAAACTTTCTCTGTAAAACTTCTCTAGTAAAAAAAATAACATTTGTTAAATATTTATGTAAATAATACAATTTTTGTAGCTAAATTTTGTATTTTTTTCAGGATTATGGAAAAAATCTGGAAAATTACTTTTCCTTGGCTTAGATAATGCAGGAAAAACAACATTATTACATATGCTAAAGGATGATCGCCTAGCTCAACACACACCAACATTACATCCTAGTAAGTGCTATTTAATATTAATCTTATTGAATAATTCTAATTAATTAATGATTTTTTTTCAATCAAGCATCTGAAGAACTATCAGTTGGAAATATTAAATTTACAACATTTGATTTGGGTGGCCATTCTCAAGCACGAAGAGTATGGAAAGATTACTTTCCTGCTGTCGATGCAATTGTTTTTTTAGTTGATGCATATGATCGATCCAGGATATTGGAAAGTAAAGCAGAATTAGACTCCCTTTTGCTTGATGAGTCCTTATCAAATATTCCAGTCCTTGTTCTTGGAAATAAAATTGATAGACCAGGAGCTCTTAATGAACCTGAATTTAGGGCACATTTTGCTCTTAATCAAACTACTGGAAAGGTAAAATTATTAAACAAAAGTTATTAAATATTAGATTAATATTATTATATTTAGTTTTTATCTATTACATGAAATTTATTCTTTTGATTTTTAGGGAAAAGTATCTCGATCTGAGCTTCCTGGGCGCCCATTAGAAGTTTTTATGTGCTCAGTGTTAAAACGCCAAGGTTATGGTGAAGGATTTAGATGGTTAGCGCAATATATTGATTAAGTCAGTTTACTTGTTTTTATATTTATATATTGTTTAACAAATATATTTAATTTTAGAAATCAATTTCCTTTTTTTTTCATTTACAACATTTAAAAAAAAGTTATGTCTTTAATTAAAAATCAAATAATTATTTATGTAAACCTAATTTTTAGTTCTTGCATTAATTGCTTTATTTAAAAAAATAACATTATTTGTTCAATAAATTAATAAAATAAGGTGTAAAGTAAAAATAAATGTTTGATGCGTTTTCAGCTACTTTTATTTATTAGGTCTTTACTTTTTTTATGATTTTTTGACTAGTAAAAACCCTAGTTTACCAAAAGTTTACAATAGTATTTAAATACTTTTTAATTTTTAATTCTATTTATTTATGAACATGATCCAATAAGTTGCATAATGCTGATATGTAGCTCTGTGCCATTTGCAATGTTTCGTATTTGGACAGTTTATGGTCGTCATCTGTCATTGTTGGTATAGCTTCTCGTAAACGATCAAAAGCTTCATTCAATCCATTCATTCGACGTCGTTCTCTAGCATTTGCAGCTAAGCGTCTCTTTTTAGCTACAGTTGAAGACTCCTTACTGTTTGGCTTTTTTTGATTATACTCATTTAAAGTTCTATCAAAAAATAAAAACATTTTCAAAATTAATGTTTGCATTACAAACAAGTTATAAAATCTATATAATTATTTTAATTGATATTTTAAGTATCATGAATTTCATAATTATTCATATATTAAATATAATCATACTTAAAATTCATAATCACAAACATTCAGAAATAATTATAATATAAAATATATTCTGAATTTATTAAAAATTGCTACAGATTCAACAAATAAAATGATTGAGTTGTTTCAAACAAGGTTATTATATTCATTGTCTAAGGCTGTTACTTAAAACATTTTTTTTAACTATTTAATTGGGACATAAATGTTCCCTCTTCCTGTAGTTGTTTCAGAGTGACTCATCAAATGACGGATCTAAGGTGGAGTTTTAGGATAATAAGTCCAATTTGAAATATCCATACCTTATTATGCCTAATAAACAAAGATCAAAAAAAAAGTTGACCTATTAGATTACAACTCCACTGTTGAAAATTATTATTATTACTTGGCTACAAATAATATACTCTTATATTATATATACAAATAATATAATAATATACAATTTTATTGTAATAACATATATTGTTTTTTCTATTTACGTTTCTGGTATTATAATTGTCCAAGATTAACTATATCTAGAATAAATAATTACACTGATATATGGTGGATATTGTTACTATCATTCATTTAATATGGACAATGCCATAAAGTATTGAAGATATGGAAAACGGCAATCATACGATGCTCTTTATGTACAACAACATGTTTGTAGAATTTACAAATATTTGAATATGATTGAACTACTGATAATGATCTGCCAAATTGCGCTGAAATTGAGGCAAGGAAAGTTTATCATATATACAATATTTGCTAACACAATAATCTAAATTCGGATTCTGTAGAAATAATAAGATAAATTATGAAGGATGTTAATAACGAAAAGATATTGGTTAATTTACCAGAGGATCACATAAGAAGGAATGAAAACGGACAATTAAAATAGATCACGATCAACAACACATTGACAGAAGTTGTGATTGAAATTCCTTTGACAAAAGTAAATGAAACATTTTTAGTGTATGGCAATGGAAATAATGATCTTAATTGTCTAACATTTGCAATATAAAACGAAAATATCAGATTACTTGCAAAGAATTAGTACTACATTTTCTGTTGGAACTTGTAGAACTATACCCAGACAGTTCGTGTAGTTGTATACAGTCTGTGGTATTTATATGGGCAACGTTTTACCATTAGTGGAACTTCGGCAGCTCGTAAAACTGAACTCACTTATAATGTAATTAAAAACTGAAAATACTATTATTTAAATGACTGGTAGCCTTATTCATTATAAATCACTACAGTCAAAGAAACTCGTAACACAGCTTAACAAACTTAAATATTAAATAAAGTCCTGAAATATTTATGAAGTTTTTCTATATCTTCAATATTTTAACCACGAATTGAATACTTGTAAAATTACACGTTTTTCGAAAAAAATATTATTAAAAAAAAAAAAGTACAGATCTATGCCTTACTTTTAGTAGAATGCTATAGTAAAATCAGATTTTGAAATTTAATATTATTTAATTGATAAATGATTTTTTGATTCAATGAAATTGAAAAATCATTATAAAGAGTCGTATTGTAACATAATATTCATTAGGATATTGCCTCACCGGAAAAAATTTTAGTCTTTAATTAGAAATAAAAATGTGAACACTATGCACGAAAGAAAAATTTTAAATGGCTATATCTAAAATAATTTATGTGAAATATTTATAGATTTTTTTTAACTTCATATTAAAATTCGGGGTTTTTTAATAATATTTATACTGTAATTAATTAAATAATTGAAATTTTCAAAATCTAATTTAACTATATCATTCTAATAAACATATGTTTTATTTTTACCATATCAAATTATATTTAAAAATTTTAAATAAAAATAGTAGCCTTTATTATGATTTTTGACTTATATGACTTTAAGTCTTTTTCAAATTTATTGCAATTATGTAATTAATTGTAATTTTACAAATATTCAAAAAATTTCATTAACATTCCATTACCCAAATTTGTTTGAACTGTATAATAAATCAATATAGAGTTGAGTAAATTATAAATAACTATGAGTTATAAAGCAAATAATAAAATTAACCTATATCATACAATTAAAATTTTTATAGTAATGAAATGAAGTGAGCTATATTAACAATGCCATTTTATTTTTATTGTATAGATAAAATAATATATTTATATTTATACAAATAAATGTTATGTGTTTTAAAAATTTATACATTAATTATATTAAATTTTTTCAAAATTAAATAATTAATAATCTTAATTTCCTTGTTCTATTATATAATAAGATTATGGAACTTTTTTTTATTAGACATTAAAGTTATGAATTTTAAATTAATGAACCATAAAGAAATTTGAACCTAATGTCTGTCAACCACCAAAAGTGCTATACACCCGGGAATTTTTGGTGTCACTAACAAAAAAATCAAATGCAAAACATACATTCTTGCTACTCAATCTTTTAATTTGAATTATTGTCAAATAGATTCTGCGGAATTGTTTATAACAGAATTTCAAAAACGAGAAGCGTTATTTTGGGGAGAAAGATCGCTTCTGTATAGTCCATGGATAGGGGAAGTGAAATATATTATATGTTAATATATAGGCTTATTTAAAATAGTTAATAATATTATTGAATTTGAATTATGTTTTAGTAAAGGAGATAGTATGTAATAGATGTATTGATTGATATTGGGCCATAATTAGTACAGTAGATATGTATGTTAAATTTTTTTGAGGAGGTTTTTTAATACGAATAGAAATCTATAATATATTATTGATGACGTTTTCTTTCTTGCTCATAATACTTCTAAAATATCGTTTTCATTAAAAATTTAGGACATTGCATTAATTTCGGGGAAGGCACTAACGCTACTCTAGGAATATAAGGTATGAAAATTGCCTCGATAGCTTCAACTGTTGTCCTTTATTTTTACGCCTTCTGGGAAATTTTTCTGAGGTCGTATTTGCTTCAAATTGTAGGCATCCGTAGAAAGTAGAATAGGGTGCTATTCTCACTTAACATTTACTTAAATTTTCATAATCGTAATATATAGTAAAATTTTGCACAATTACTTTTTTTTTAACTATTTTATATTAAATTGTATAATGAATGACATAAATAAAAGGTTATTAAATTTATAGGACACTTTATTTTATAAAAATGTATAAAACTAACAAAAAGTCTTTTATTTATCATACTTTTTCTGTAATTCCTATATTTTTAGGTTGTATTATAGGTTATATTATAATGCCTATATTATTATAATAGGTGCTTATAGGCACCTATAAAAAAAATTGGTGGATTATTCCAAAAGCTACATGATTTGTTATTTCCTTATTTATATTCTGATTAAAATAAAGTATGTCGAATGAAAGAGGGATATATATATATCATTTCTCATAAAAAAATTGTATTGATCCATACACTTTTCAATAAGTTATAGCATTATAAAGTTAAAAATATAAAATATAAAATCGAGAATTTTCACCCAAAATAGCATTCGGTAGCCATTTTCACCGTGAAGACAAAATAAAGTCCGAAATTTTTTTTTTCCGTAATAAAGTATATTACATTAGCTTTAATTTAAGATATATAGAAAAGTGTCAGTATTCCGGAACACTTACAAAATTTAAGTTGAAAAAGTTAATTTTTTGTAAAAAAGTTGTTATTTTAAATCCCCTCCTATGGGCAGAATAAGGGTTAAATTTATTATCAAAATATACCAAATGAAAGGTAAAGACATCATGCATCTATAGAAAAGAAATTATATTGATTTAATTATTTTTAAAAAAAGTTATGGCAGTTTTAAGGAAAAAAAATTTCGAAAATTAGCGATTTTTAAATTTGTAATTTTTTTGGAGGTTTCCCCCATTTACGGGGAACGAGGGAATTTTTTTTCAATTTTTGAGGGTAATGTCTTTGACTAGATGCGATTTGTGATCTTTTGACGTATCGTTGAAAGAAATCGGTTGGGTGAGAGCTGAAAAAAAGTGGTAACAAAAAAAAACACATCATAGTAAAACAATACCTTCTCAGTTTCGCATCGAAGCTAAAATAAATTAATAATTTAAACATAGTGTGCAGGGTAATAAATTTTTTTAAGGCGCTAAATAAAATTTTTCTCACAAAAAGTAATTTTTATTTGTATAATTTAGTAAAATTTCTGAAGAGGCTATATTGTAAGCTGGGGGCAATTACCCCTAGATTTCCAATCAATGCTAATGAACCTTAAATGAAGTGTCCTTACCCATTATAAGAGCTATCCCATTCAAGTGCGCTAGCTGGTCTAGAAGGTGGTGATTGGACAACATTGGTAGAATATTCTTGATATTGATTATTCCAATGGTCAACGTTGAGTATACTGAGTGGTTGTGATCGTGTTACGTACAATGATTGCTGATCAGTAACAACAGATAGTTTTTGCCAACAGTTCCAGTAAGATGAATCATGAGGATGTCGTGGAGATCCAGTTGAACCACTTGAGTAAGATGGCGAGTCGTTGGGTAATAGCAGACCGTAACGGCCACTACCAAATCCAGAATGTACGTTAGAAGAATGGACTAAATCCATCGGAACTGATCATTGACATGGCGCGAGCTCAACAATACATAAAACAATAAACTATAAAGGCTGTAAAAAAAGAAAAATTCTATCAAACTCTAACGTTTATTTTTCTGGTAAGTATCAGCGAAATCCGCATAAGTGATAATGATATGTGCAAAATTTATTAGAATAAAATCCGCAAGTATTCCAACTATCTTATTCATTAATTACGACCAGGGATGTAATTTTAATTTTTGTTTTGTTATCATCAATATCGCAGAGGTCACTATGTTCAATAAGTCCGCAAATTTATGTATGATACCTTACCCCTCAATAAAACAAAATGTGGAACTCCAGACCGGGTAAATAAACATTAAAATAAAAATTATACAAAAAAACACAGTACAGTAGGATTACGTCAAAGTCGGAACGTAGAAATATGATGATATCATTCAGTGATTGACATCACTGTCATAAAAAACACTTAAATGTGAATTTAATAAATATCAGAATTTGTAGATTTTCAATTTTACAATTTCTGATTTAAAATTTCCCTCAAGGATTAAATGTTTGTTAAATTATTTATTTAATTGGAAAAAACGATTTTTTTTTTGACGGCCTATCTCACACGAGAAAGCTTAACTTTGAATAAATCAGAGAAAAAATATCGTGAGGACATTTTGTTGATTATTTACGACAGGATTATCTTTTCATTATAAAATAATCTTAAAAAAGCTTTAATTTAATTTTTTTGAAAATGCTATTTTTTACAATAACGTAATTTTGAGACATTTTTTTTAAATTTCTAAAAATGCGACGGTTTTTTCAAATTGTTGGCAAAATTTAGTTCAACTAGTTTAAAATCACGTTCTTTTAACATATTGATCATTAAAATCGGTCTCGTTAGAGCTGAGAATTTTCACGGACAAATATAAAAAAAACACTATCGAAAAACCTATTCAGTTTCGCATTGAAATTAAAAGTCAATGTAAAAACAATTACAAATAAAAAGTGTTTTTTGTAAAGTAATTATTTATTGACGTTTTGATTGAATTTTACAAGTTTTAAATGTTACAGTTTCAAAATTATAAAAAATGTTTGAAACCATTTCAGTTTTCTCAACTTAGGTTCTACTAAAGTTCCAAGAAAAAATATTTCTAAATTTTCATAAAGAGAATAAAAAAATATTGTTGTAATTCAGAATATTCAATATTGGATCAAAATGAAAGATAAATACCTGTTGTAAGTTGTTCCACGCTCTCGTATAATTGTATACGAATTGACTTCAACCCTTAACACGTAGTAGAACTGTTCCGGATGGCACGAGTCCTGAACGGTCATTGACGACCACGCGTGCTCACACATAACATATGGTATCTGAACACAAGCCGCTTAGATCTTCTATCTATTACGGTTATTATATTGTGTTTTTAGCCCCACCTCTGACATCATCCCTCGAAGTACAACGATTTCATTAAAAAACGGTCTAACGGTTTCTTAAGATCGTTAAGTACGTGAAAAATTGTATTATTATTATTTAATTAAATGTTATGGATATATACCTACACTGGTTTCGGCAAAGATATTCTGCATAATATATTGTTGTTAACTCATAATTATGAAAATGTTAACTGCAGGAATAATGATACACCTATCATTGTATTCTTTATGAGAATATATATAACCTGTATATTTTAAAAAAGGTATGATACTGCGAGATGCGCAAAAATACCCTAAAGGCTTTTCAAATACACACCCCATAGTTAACAATCCTAATATTAACACAAAAGATATTGCTGAAATATGACTAAGAAACTGAGTTTGAATCTAAATTAAGACAGACCAAAAAATCTAACAAATGTCGTTATTAATTATTTAGTACACATGCCATTTTAAAAGAATTATCAAATGTAAAAATTACCTTTAGACGTTTTAATCAAAGGTAAAAGTATCATAATAACAAATAAAATTCTTTCATTATATGTATATTTATGTAATTTAAATCATCGACAAACCTCGGGCTACAGGCAAATGAAGTTATAAACGACTATTGCATTGGCCACATTGAAAAATTTATCAATATAATAAAACTTTGAACAATAACGTGCTTATTTTGCTTTTTTTTATATTTGTTCATTAATTTGGTATGTAGGACTATGCAATAACATGTATGATATGAATAACAACTATATATAGTTTAATCATTAGATAATATTTCGTTATACTAACATTTTCTACATTTGACCGCGAACTAAAGTAATACAATGAACGAATTAACTATAATTATTAATACATTGATTAAACAATGGGCATTTTTAAAAGGCGGGGTAGAACCTCAATCTTACCTTTTTTTGGTGCATTTTGAGAGTCTTGAAGTTTGTTGTACATGAGTCAATTAAAGAAAGTAGAAGCATTTTTCAAACCTTTTTGGTTGTAAAAAGTACCTTTTGTTATCTCTTTACACAAAGCTAATTAAGAAAATAGCTGGTTGATAAATACATTTGGTCCAAAAAGTTGAAGGTCATTAGATTTTTATGTATAGGTGGAATGAGTAGTGCGATGGAGTAATAACATGACTAATAATAATCAATTTACGGCTTAACCCAAGTCAATATTTTAGAATCTTAATAATTTTCAAAAAGTATGGTCAGATGATTTTATGGATCAATTAGATTAATTAGATCATTTGCATTATATAAGCCTATTTAATATTTAAGTTGCCATTAAAAAATTTAATTAGTACCTTTACGAGTGAAGGGAATGGACCTAAAAAGTATTTAACCACTTTTAATTATCAAGTAATATTTTTAATATTATAATTTTTTTAGAAAAAATCTAGTTGTCAAAGATAAATTATTCATTTTATATAAATACTAAGTCTTCAACCTCAGTAATGAACAAAAAAGATGTTTAATACGGCGGCCTGTGTACACGTTTAGATTCAAACTGACATACTTTAAATAATCCAGAAGCTACTGAATAAATTAATATATGAATAAATTAATCATATTTATCATTGTATAAAAATGCATATCATATATTATAAATGTACAATGAGTTTTTAAGAATCATTGGAATCATTATTAATTAAAAGGAATTCACATTTTTTTACAATTATTTACTGTTTATGAAAAAAATGATTGAGGTAATATAAATGAACAAAGGATTTACTTGTCTTATGTAAATTATAAAGGTTAAAGGTACAAAATTATGAGAATATTGAAACGAGATTTATTCGTAACGTTTACCAAAATCATTTTAAAGATTACTTATCTGTAATCAAATATAAATTAAATTTTCAATTCAACATCGAATGTACTTCAATTTCCTAAAATATTTTGTCAAAATTTGGAATATTATAAAGCATATATGTTTAAAATAACCTTTTTCTAATCTTCATTTAAATCATTTTATTTTTTCCTCAATACAACTAAATATATTTCTTGTTTAATACAACAACATAATAAATTAAAAACTTTTTATTTACTATTTTTATTATAAATTTAAGATTCTTTATTAAAAAATTCTATCAACAGAACAAAGTGTATAAATTTAGTATATTCGCATGTTAAAATAAAAATTTAACTCTATACAAATTATTCCTGAGCTTCTAAATGTAAATTTTTAATCATATTAATTTATTCTATATTTATAATTCTATAAAAACTGCTCAAAAAAACTTTCGAGTTACCATGCATTTAGTAGCATTTTTTTAACGTTGTAATATATAATTGTGTACATGTCATTATAAAACAGTCGCAGCTCGATCGGACTTAGATAAGCTTATTATTACCTATAAATTGTCTCTCCCTCACTTTTTTAACTCGTTATAAAATATATACTGCATACGTCTTCCTTCGTATTTGACCATACAAATGTATAATTCATGTGTCTAATTATGATAATGGCAGTTACGGCGGGGGTGGCAGCTGGTTCTATGGTGGCGCGTGCCCCCGAGGAAAACCGGTTCATCAAACGCGCCTGCAATATATTTTGCGGTATAAATTAAGTGTTGTATAATAAATATGTATTTTAACCGAAAATTTTGTAGGACATTTTAAGGCGATTCTTGAACTCAAAAAAACTATAAAAAACACAACGTGATCAGTGTTGAATCCAGATATATTTCAGGGAGGTGCTAGAGTCTGCCCTGGCATTTTAATAGCCTCCCTGACAATCTCAGTGTTTCAATGATAATAAAGTTATTTTTGAAAATTTCTATAATATTTCGTTTAATAACGAAAACTATTCTTTTATTTGCTCATCAGCAAATATAAGTAAAAAATTATTTTTATCTCAATACGTTTTTTATAAAAAATCCAATGAATAACCTAAGTACAGAAAGATATTGAAAATGTCTCGAAAAGTCTATATTCTTTAAACTTATACCAAATTAAAATTTTTAAAGTGTACTATAACATTAAAAAACATCACAGTGGGGTTGCAGCATTGTTAGGACAAGTATAGATTATATCTGATAATTATTAACATAACTATCATGAAAAAATGCTTTAGTGCGAATTTAATAAATTTCACAATAATTTGTATATTAAATATACAAATTGTAAGTAAATAAAATATAAAAAAACGGTAGCACAGTGGGGTCGCGGCATAGTGGAGACATTGCATAGTTGGGTTCAGTCTAGATTTAATCTGACAGTGATTAAAATCACTATCATAAGAAACGCTTCGATGCAAATCTGTAGATAGTGATTAATTTTAAAAAATTGTTGGATAATTGCAAAAGCAACATCAACTTCTATTAAAATAAAATACAAAACCCATAATTTTCATACAAAAATAGCATATTTTTGAATATGGTAGCCATTTGCGTATAAAAA